TCGATCTCCGAGGTTGAAACCATCGCACGAGTCCGAAAGTTCAACGGGCAAAAATGGCGAAGACGGCGATTCGGTAGGTCGGCGTCGATAGCTTCTTCCCGCTGAAGCTAACCCTAATATATTGGATCGAGTTTACAGGGGATGGAGTCACGTTGCGCGGGATACAGCGGGTAGAGATCCGCGAAGGTGGGAGCCGAGGGGTAGGAAGGTTACGAGTCATAAACCATCCTCAGTCGCTGAAATCGTTCTATATGCGAGTGTTTGTGTGCGTACGCGTGTGTATGTGCACGTCCTCGCGCGCGCTCGTCTATCTACTTCCGGATCCGCACGGTAACACGCGTGATTCTCGCCGAGTACGAGAAGCAGGAGTTGTTTACTGCTTTCTGTGAACTTTTAAAGAAACCGAATGTGTGTGTCATCGATCGATTCGCTCGTAGAATCAATATGACATTTATTAATTTCGCAAAGCGTCGGTATTTTGGTAAAATAAAACTACACCGATGAAATAATAGAGAAAAAATATATTCTGTGTAACACACATTTGTGTGTGTATGTGTGTGTGGAGTAAGAATATAAAATATATATTTCAGAGAGCTTTTATAAGAAGAAAAAGAAGAGAATATTTCTTTTCCATGAAGCCATATTTAATAAATTTGTAGAAGTAAATTTAAAGTTGTAAAAGAGGTATTTGATAAGCTTTATCCATATTTTAAAAGCCTCCACCAAAAAGTAAATTTTTATATTACCATCATTGATTAAAACCATTGATTTGTCAATTTTAAGATATTTGTGAAATGTAGTGATACATTGCGCTGACAGTTCAGGTTGAGAACCGCGACGGGTGTGTAATATGAAGATAAGATGTCCCCTATGTTCCCATGTGTGCCAGGCTTCTCGATCGGGGATTATGTTGCCATCTACGTTGACCTCACCCCCTCGAACGAAAACATCTCGTCCTAGTGCGCCGACCAGTCGGCCCAACCCCATAACCTTTCGCGCTCTTATGTTCGTCATTTCCCATGAATTTTCGTTTCTTATTTGTCGTAAAGGTGTAAAAAGAAACGGGCAAACACTCCTCCGCACTTCTCGACATTACTTGCATTTTTGGTGAAATTGTGGCACCTACCGGCGAATCGAGAGATGTACGATCAAGCGCGTGTATTCTTTCGAGTGATGAGGCGCGATTCTCGCGAACACATATTCATAGACATGGATGTTCTTTGAAAGAGAGATAGGCGGTCGAATTTTAGTGTTTATATAATTTAGAGGCACGATACGCAAGATGGTACCCTCATGATTTTTTAACGCAGCACGCGCTTTTACGCCCTTATGGCTTACGATCGTGCTGTGACTCCCATGTTATTTTACAGGGGTTGCTAAAGTACACTTTTATGAATCCACCAGGAATGTGTGCACCTCGCGACCGGTGCGTTAAAATCTGCTGGATGTTTTCTATTCGTCGTTTTTGTAGCCGTGTCCAACAGACCTGAAAGCGTCTATTTCTCGTTGCTTCGGCGGCGACTGTGCGATAACAATCTACTTGGACAATTCACTACTTCTGGTATGAAGATCTCGCTGAAAAGTTGCTGAAGATATTTTTGTGTTGAAGTAGTATCCACGCGAAGTTATATTAGAGCGATATAAAATAAAAAGAAAATATTTGAATTTACTTTTATATTAATTTTGTCTAAAGAAACTAACGATAAGCTCAAATTTAAACACACACACACACAATTATTGAAAACTATTTCTTCATCGTTGTATAAAATGTACGCACCTAGAAAGCACTTTGTTATGCTATAATCAGAAATATTGTAGATATAGACTTAACGATTATGATTGGCGTTACGACCCTCTGCGTTTGCGTACGCGCAAAATATTTCCTCGATTTTCCAGAAACACTCTTATTCCTTTCCATCCCCGACATAAGAAATCGTCAGCATTCCGAATGGCAAGTCCAGTGTCAGCCTAATGTATGTCCTGCATGGTGAGGGTGTGCTTGATTCATTTCACCCTCGGGGTCCCCGCCGGCGCGCATTCGTCACGCATTTCAGGAGTCTTTTCGCTTGGCTCGCATCGAAAATCCACCCTGCGAGACTTTACACGGGCGTCATAAGCTGACGCACTTAATTTAAAGATCGTCCAGCGCGTCGAAAAGTCTTGGGCGCGAGGGTCGTTCCCCTCGGCTTTCTCTCCGTTTCTCTTTCTCTCACTTTTTCCTCTTCTTTTCTTTTTTTTTCTTCCGCCACAGTTCATGCAGCTCCGCGGGGGCGGCTTTACAATCCGGGCATTCCGCTTTACAGTTCATTTCGCTCGCGGCGGCGCTCTTTTCCTCTTCATCGAATTATTTCGAACTCGTCGACGGAAACGCTCTCCGATTGTGCCCGGCGTTTCCGAGGCGCCGTTTCTCGCGCGATTTCGATCGGCGGAAACTCGATCGAATTAGTGACGCTCTGTTTGCCCACCCAATGTCTCTACTCCACCGTTATTTATAACGTTATTCGATTTCAGTTATTTACTCATTTAGCTATTGCGTCAGCAGACATATTTGTAGATAATTAGTGAAGTCAACAGCAAATTGTTCCGCGCGTCGCTGATATGTTGACGCGTTAGATACAACTGCATTCAGTAATGCAGATGCATCAATCTACATTTGGTCATTAATCGTGTCAAATAGAATCCCTTAGACCGTACCGACTTTAACTCTACGTGTGATCGACACAGGGTGTCTTTCGCTGATCGGTCGACTTCGCGGCATCTTACCGATTCCAGTTGATCTGGTCGTCGTTGACGCAAGATTCGGAACGTCAAGTAACGAGGGGACGAGACAGAGAGAAAGAAAGAAAGAGAGAGAAAAGGAAAACGAGAGAGGGTCGCAGCTGCGTAGGCATGTGGCAAATTGCCGAGTTGCCCGCTGGAAGGGAACCATCCACGGAGGTGGAGGCGCCTCCGCGAAGGACGAAGTGGCGAGACCAGCAGGAAGGACGAAGCGGAGGAGAGGACGATAGACGCGGCGGTACGAGAAGGAACGATACGCGAGACGAGGTGGAAGGTAGGCGGCGGGTAATCTGTGATTCAAAGAGAGCGATCCATCTTGCGACATGCCAGGATTCAATCGGCGGCATTTGTTTGTGAAATCAGTCCCGCAGGACTCGCCCCGTCGCTCCTCGTCTCCGCGCTGCCCGATTCGCCGATTGTCTCCGCGCGGGTACGACAAAACCAGCAGAACCGAGGGACGTGAATGGAAAACGCGGGATATGTCTTATCGAGTGCTGTGTGCAAGCGATTCTTTCCCGTCGGTTTACGTAAAATAGGTATAATGGGTAAATAGAGAGACTTCGTGCAATTACGTTTTAATTGTACGTGAAGTGTAACCTTTTCGCAAGAGGTACTTAAAATGTCGTCCTCATATTTCGAGCGCGCGTTTAGCGCCTCGAGAGGCTGCTACTGATAAATTATTTTTCATTGGAAATATAATGTACCCCGTAAAGAAATTGATGCATGACGTCAACTGAAACATTCTCATCAGCGATCAGCAAAGGAGCGCCGACGGGGCGTGTCGCATGATCGACGCCAAGCAGGGCTAATAAGGCTATATATATTTATTCAGCTAGTCGGGGGTGGATTTTATATCCCTGGACAGGACTGAAGATACGAAAAGTGAGAGGCAGAGAAAGAGGCGAAGAGAAAGAGAGAGGGAGAGGGAAGAGGGGAGAGGGGAGAAAGAGAGAGAGAGTTTTAGAGGGTAAGGAAGACAGCGCGGCTTAGCATTCGGAAAAAACCGGAATACCGGGGATAGATTCGTGTGTCTGATCCGTGCCAGATCCCATAAAATGACCCTAGCACGATCGAGTGCCCGCCATGCCGTGCCCGCGCCCCCGGTGTGCGAAGAGAGGCCACCCCAGAAAATTATTGCTCTCCTTATATATTCGTTCGTACTGCTGGATTGGGGCCGAGCCGAATAAACTCGTGCCCTTTGGATACGATCGGGAAAGTAACATTTGACGGAGAAGAGGATAGCGAGGAAGACGAAACTACGAGACAACAAACTGATCTTTTTATATGTATTCTTCTTTTTGAGGAAATTAGTCAAATTGACAGCTTAACATATAAATTATATCGCCACAGAAAGTAACCTTGTATACGACTATAGGACGAGGAGAAAGAAGCATTCACTGGCAAATAATGTCGAGATATATAATATTGAAAGCAGAGAGACATATAAACGAACGATATCGCTACAGAGTAGGCGCTATAAATATCAAATGTCTCGTATCAGGAAAATCACGTGATCCCTTATCATTCCTGTTACAATTGTGGTGATACATAATCTTACAAAAAACAAGATGTTACACACAGCGTCTTGGAGCGTACGGATTGGTCTCGTTCTAGCATGTAATCACTGAATCATAAATATCACGTTAGTTACAATTAGCAGAAGAATAGTAACGGAATAACTTAATAAGCGGAATCGCTCAGGTATATATACGCAACAGTGTTAACATTGCGCCAAGGTACATTACGCCAGACCCTGAGGAGCCGGCTTTCCAATATATTAGCAACTATTACAATATATTACACGCCCTCGCGCACGCTTTTTAATAATTGCCGTAGTTAAATCTAATGCCGCTATTGTTTGCATCTTAGATTGTTGCAATAAAACTGTTAAGCAATGATGAAGTTTGCCGCATGTATCAGAGCGTTACTAGTTGATAACAAGCACCGATAGCGTGGAATATATTTTTATGTATATTTACACGTGATAACGTGGATGAGAAGAAACGAAAACAACTTTCACAGATAGTGCTGAATCTTTCTTAAGTATCTCATGTGTTCATTATTAATACTTTGCATCTATTTTTAATACAAATTTTATTTTTCACTATACACTATACATTATACACTATACACTAGTATATATACTATACTATATACCGCACCCACTTTCAAACAAAGTTGAAACAAAGTTTCTTAGAAAAAGGAAGATCAATAAACGAATATAATGATAAAACGAGTTTTATATTTGCAAGAGCATAAATATACACACGATATATTTTTCTTTTATGGCTACAGGCTTCCCATATCATTTCTTCTGGTCGAGTTACTGCTTCCCGCCGTAATGGTAGTCAAGGTACCTATAACCTTGCGTGAGCTGAGCCCCAGCGTTTGTCACGTGGCACGCTAACAGCAACAAATTTCGCGGTTGTACCTTCCAAGCGAATCGCATGAATACCATGGAGTACAGGGTCAAGGCTAAAAATTGTTCAAAAGAGAAGGAAATTAATTATTGCACGCGCGCACAGACCTGCGCGATCAATATGCGGATTCCTAAGTCGATATCTTTTCGTAACATGAATTTGATAGAAAGCTGATGTAGATAAAGTGAAGAACAAAGTTTAAGCGACGCGCTAAAGAGAGACTCGTCTCATCCATTATATTCATTCATTTATATTTCATTATTGTTTAAAGATAAGTTTTTAAAGCTTTCCCTTCCTACGGGAGGACGTGATTCATTGGAACACATTCATGAGAATTCGAGAAGGGCTTTTCGGAGCGGGCGTTACGTTTGAACATGGCTCGTAACATTTTACTCTAACATTTTACTTGTAGACCCGTTTTAGGTCGGTATGCATCTCAGACATTCGCGGCGTGCCGCTCATTAAGAAATAAACGGCTATTTGCTGCGCTCGAGCAGCAATTATTTTATGGGTCCCTCTCGGACTTCCCTCCTCCCTTCCTCTTAGCAGCTTCACTGCTTGCCACGCACCCTCTCGCTCTGTCGCGATACGTGATTATTATGAGACGGAGAATGAATTCTTCGAAAGGTCCGGCAGTAGAGTTATGTCGAACTCACCCAAAGTCATTTTGCCGCTAATGATTCTCGGATGCTTTCGCGTGTCGGATATGGCCGCTATAGGTATCATCCAGTTGAATACCGGACCCCAAAAGTGTGTGCTTAAAAAGTAGTTCATTTTTCATAAATTGTGCTCTTGCGACGAACATATGAGTACTAAAGTATCTAGAGCAGTCAAATGAGAGGTAAACGAACTTATTCACACAATTGTGATTGATAAACGCGTTAACTCCATAATAATTTATAAATATTAAATAAAATACAGCCAGATATGTATCCCAATGAAAGAGAAAATTATATATTTGAAAGTTATATATAAAATATTGGACATTGGGAAATGAGAAAGAACATGAACATTTTTAGAGAAATATCAATTTTTTATATAAACTCACACAAAAATATAGTGTTATTATTAAAATCTAATTTTTTAAAGAAATAAGATGTGCTATATATTATTCTCTCTCTCTCTCTCTCTCTCTCTCTCTCTCTCTCTCTCTCTCTCTGTCTATATATATATATATATATATATATATATATATATATATATATATATATATATATTTCTTGTTTAGGAAGGAACAGCAGTAATGAAATCATTAATTTGAGGTGACAATTTCCAATGTAACCTAATTGCCGTATTTCTTGTATATATACGATATTCTTAAGGCAATTTGTCCGTATGTTTTGTGTAAACATTACCTCATTAGGTAATCTCTAGTCTCTTTGGTTATCAGAGATTTCGGCACTTTCCTAGACATGATGGCGGAAGTCGACACGTTTTCGGTTTTAGCAAGAACGATTTTAGTCACACACACCACGAGGTTATTTGGATCGCGACAAATTGGTTATACTTGGTTTATATATGTAACCCCTAATCAGCTCCGACATTGACAGTACCAACTGAAAGGCGTCGAAGTCAAACGATAAAGCCAATACCCGGAAACATAGTTGATTTCCAAACGGTCGTTACTTCCGTTATCGCGACTCCTTATGATTTTATCACAGGCACACGCGATCTTGCTTATCTCGAGAATTTCTAATCAGCGTCAATTTCCACAGTAATTTCCTCTTGGAGTGTTCACACGTCGTTATGATTGACGCGTTATCTTATTGCACTCAGATTTCTTTTAAGAAATTAAATTTTAAAGTGAATACATACGCACACACATACATTCATACGTAGAATCACACCGAAGCGCTATGACTGACAGGCGATAAGCGACTTGATATTATCACTACGATAAGAGACAAAGTTGTAAAGCACTTCCTGAGACACGAGCAACGCGTTTGTACTTTCCGCACTTTGATTTTAAGTCTTTCTAATACAGACTAACGCGTCTTTTACAGCAGTTTCAAACGGCCGAGCTGCGCGCGATCTTTTCAGTTGAGTCTATGACTACTGAACGCTAACTGTCGGGACGTATCGCCAGAAAACCGGAATTTCAAGTCAAGATATTTTACTTCGTTGTTTACGAAACAAGCGTCGTTAGATGTGATTTCATAACAGGTATTTTCTCGGTGTGGCAACTGATTTGCATATCAAGGTTGTACGCTTATCATTGCATGCTACTTAACCGCATCTCACGCTTTATGAATGCGAAAACATGTATCTATTAATATGTATGTAGCGTACACTTGATTTACAATATCATTTAATTTTTATGCAATTCCAGATCCACTTTGATATTCAGTTTACTTGGTAGAATGTAAATGGAATTCACGAATAAACATTGTGAGGTTTCAATTCTTCTGTGAATTTCTATCATTCATTTAACTTCCGTATGCGTAGTCTCTTACATAGACAATGATAAATTCATGTTAAAATATCTTTGAAACAATCACAGCGTACACATATGTAGAAACTCATAATGGGAAAAAAAATATTATTCCTTGATATCGCGATGTATTTTTGACTTACACGTTTCGATTAAACAATTTCCTCACTAAGTGGACAAATCGCACGCACCAATCAGTCTTTTGTCGTGACCTTTTACCGTCTGTCAATCGATCTGCATAGCAGTTCACACGCATACCTTATCGTTATAACTCGTTCCTTTCTTTTTATATCGTCTCACGGAAAGTCTGACGTTTGCGAGAAGACATCCTCCTACCCTCCTCATAATAAATGCACAGGTTATTATTTCGCGCGTATAACATTGATAGCGCTATGAATGTTGCATGGAGGGGTACACGTCCTGAACGCAGCTCAACGGGGGTGGAAACCAGCTCGCGTATGGGGATTGTAACGGGGGATGTTGCCGGGCGCATGCGTCGCCGCGGGAATGGTATTATTGATCTAAGAAGGGGGCGGATTGTGGGACCCTCGAAGACCAGCAGTGTGTCAAGGCGATCCCGGCACCCTCGGCCTGACGATATTCCAAGTTCGATAAGCGACCATGATCGCTACTAGAGTTTCGGAGTAATTCCTCTCTTCGTGTAAATACACTACATTGTTTTTCGGGGACTTGGGGAGATAGACGAAAGTGTGGTTACAGTATAGATTTTCCACGCGGAAGTACAGTTGTTTTATATCGAAACAATGTACTTTTATTCCTAAACGTTATTCCTTCCGGTGTTATTCCACGATTGAGTTGTAGACCCAGTAAGGCTTACGAGATTCGTAAAATATTTGTATTTGTTGTGGGCTAACACAGGTGATCGTCTTGACATACGACATAAATATCTAATTTGATTTACTGTGCGATTCTTGTGACAAAATTGTAATGTACACAATCCGAGGGGTAATCTTAACATTTAATCTTAACATTTAATTTATAATCTTAGTTCCAAATCAATTTTTCAATTAATCAATATTCATGATGCACGAATATGATGCATATATTGCGCGTAATTAAGAAATTCATTTTTGCAAAATGTTAAGACTATTTCCTCGGATTGTATATATATTTTACGAGCATATAATTTCGGGATTTACTAGTTGAGTCATATTATGAGAGTGTAAGACCCGTATTAATAGTAGTTGCTCAAAACTTTATGTCTTATGTGAAGTATTAAAATTTTTATTTAAAATTAGATCGAAGTTTTTAGTCGAATTATGTCCATATCTATATATGTAATCATGACTTAATTAAAAACTGCCTCATGTAACTCTGAATTTAAATCTAAGTATCTCACACTGAAAGAAAAATATAGTTGTCTTTGGCGTAAACTATACTCTTTTGTGATTTTAACCACAAAAATAGTTAGAAAAACCATTATTTCAGTAAGTGTTGTTAGAAAAATGGTTCTTGTAATTATTTTTTTGGTTGAAATCACAAAAAGGTATAGTTGACGCCGAAAGCAATTATATTTTTCTTTCAGCGCACTGGAGACGAGTTTCAAGTAATAACTAATTAATACGGATTTAAGTTTTCCATCGACTTCTTCAATTCGTAGATACAAGTCAACCTTTAGATGCAAAAAGACAGAAAAGCTCTCTGTTTACGTAAAATATAGTAGGAAAACTTTCTCTTTTTATTTCATTCTCGTGGTATCCAATTTTCAAGAAAGGCTCGATTACGTATCGGGCGCCCCGAGCAGGCGCCCGATATACACGCACCTAGAATCGACTATGTTCCCTGCATATGCATTCCCGTATGTAGCATTCGCACGAGTGTCTCTCCCCATCCGAAAGCAAATCCTTATCCCGCGGTCCCTAGGTCCCCCAGGCCACCATCCCAGGCACTCAAGAGTATTGCCGCTATTTTCTGTCTCGCGTATTACGCCGTGGCGCGCATTTCGCGATCTTCCCGGAATGCCATTTACACGCGACGTTCCCTTTGACATGTATCAATATTTATTTTGACCTACCAGTCGCTTTGCTGATCTTGCAAGGTTGTTACACTTATAATGCTTAACTCCTTGTATTTATTAAAAGATGCGCTACTTAGAAATCTAGATATGTAATCTTGCTCGTAGAGCGTGTATGAGCAATAACGCAAGAATGTTCTACTTTTTACAGTGTGTAATATAGCCAAAATTTTACATAATTAAGTAAATAGTAAATTTTTAAGGTAAAGTATTTGCTCGGCACATCAATAAAGGAGTGCTATCTCCATGCGTCGTGGTAAATTAAATTACAGCGACAGAAAGCAATTGTTTGAAGTTCGGAAAACTCGTTAATTCGCGCAGAACGTTAGAGTACGAGGTCGAAACGAAGTTACCCGACTCACGCATCAATTCCTGCGCGGCACAAAGCAAAAACACGCGGTACATTCGCACGTATTTCATTTGTATTCGACTGGAGGAAATGGCGCGGCCTCTGATGTCTCTTGCTGACGCGCCCCGAAAAACCTTTTCTACTCCACCGTCGTCTTTCCGTGGGGTCCCCTCGGCTTGCGGAAACTGATCTGAATGCGTCCTACGTATTTGCCAACACCCCCGCGCTACGTCTTTTCAGAGTCGGCCGTCGACAAGCACTCGCCGCCGCTCGACACGTTTCATCCCCCTGCGAATAAAAAGTCGTGTGTCCACGTGAGTTCACCTCGAGTTTGAAGGGAAATCTAACATTCGCTGCGAAATCGTCACGCAAGCAAGCGACATGGCTCTGTGGATTTAGAGCCGCATTCTCATCTGCCTGAAACACGCTTCTCGATAGTGTAACGCACTCACCGATGACATTGTGCGATTGAAAATTTGACGTTACATTTTTATGGTTTAAAGGGCTACTAAAAGCCGAGTAGTGAGACAATAAATTGAATTTATACCGAGTTATTGTCCGTATACGTATCATTATTATTGCATTACGTAACTTATTAATGACTCATCATTGTTTTATAATTGCAAGTCCGTGGTTGCACTCTCGCGATCGCATTGTGATCCCGCGGTGCCGGTTGCACGTTACGACCGTCGCATTCCTCAATGTAAGTCGCGTTTCATTAAAATTATACTCGCGACTTGTAATTACCGATCGGACTTGAAACGAGAGCGTCCTTTTTCCCTTGCCGGATTCTGTCCCCTTCGTTCGTGCTCGAGTATACCGCTCTGACAATGCTTTTAATTACCTGCTGCGGAGAGTTCGATGTACGGGTCGAATTATAGGCCCCGGTCTCCGCCGACGTATGAAACCGGCGCTACCTCCGATTGATGCCGGGCTAATTAAAGTGCACAATTAGAGGAGGAATGATTGCCAGATTCGTCCGCACCGACGGGAGACGTTCGTTAAAAAATCTCACAATTTATGTCCCACTGCCCTTGCCTCATGTATCATTATGAGCAAACTAAGAACTTGTAAAATTACGAACATTTAATTGCACTCACAGTTCTTTGTCTTTCTCTCTCTCTCTCTCTCTTTTGTCCGTTTCCATTTGAAAATCATCAACCATGTTATACGATGGAGTTTCTTTTGCATGACTTTGTATCGAAATTGCGCGCGGCTGAACAATTCGCACTTCTTAATTGTAGGGTCGTACTATTCGGTTGGAGTGTTGGTTTCTGTGCTTTTCACGGGAAATAAAGGAATCTGACATTTCTGCAGGCGTTCTCTCGGTTACGCTCATACATCAACGTCACTTAAAGTCAGGAAAATTTCTCTTAACAATTTTTCTCGCGAATCCGGGTACAAAAGAAATTGTCTGCAGATACATATATTTTTTTCGATGCAATAGCCATATAAAGTGTCACACGAATATCACATATTGAATACATGTAAACAATAGTTTTTTAAAAAATGTGCAAATATATTTTGAATCAAGAAAAGATAATATTTTACTTCATTCTGAATTAATTTACACGTTTACTAAATTTATTTTATGTAGTATACACAAATAATAATTAAATAATACCATGTCAATCTTTCTGATCGTTTTGTCCTAATAACTTGATTTAGGAATGAAGATGCGACAATTTTATCTCGTCTCGACATATATTCGAAATGGCGCTAGTAATGACTAAAATTCCGAACTTTTGGTCCGGGGTCACAGAATTCCCGAGATTCTCTTCTTTAATTAAATAACGACTTCAGAGACGGACGGAGAAATATGTTCAACTTCTGTTTCGATTGTTACATCGCTGATTTCTCGTGTAATTAAGTACTACGCGATAACGCTGATGTCACGAATTTATCGTATAAAATATTTCTGCGACATTTCTAATATTTCTTAGACAGCCATGAAAAGATTTATTCGCATTATTCGCGTCAAAAATTGATTAATAAATCAAATATTAATTTCACGATAAAAATTCTTGAAAAAATGTTGCAATATTTTTAACTATCCAAGTTCAAATATGAGACTTGAGGGACGATTGATGTGACGCAGACGGAACGGTAATCGTGAAACGTACAAAGTATTGATTTTTCGTATTTGTCAGAACACCGATGTATAGGCGTGTGGCGAAGCTGTCACGTTCGACTACAACGTATCCCCTCATTTCCGATCGTCGTAGTATCCCCGTA